TCTGTATAACGCACCCTGTCTCTGTATAACGCTCTGTCTCTGTATAACGCTCCCTGTCTCTGTATAACGCTCTGTCTCTGTATAACGCTCCCTGTCTCTGTATAACGCTCTGTCTCTGTATAACGCCCTGTCTCTGTATAACGCTCCCTGTCTCTGTATAACGCTCTGTCTCTGTATAACGCTCCCTGTCTCTGTATAACGCTCTGTCTCCGTATAACGCTCTCTGTCTCCGTATAACGCTCTGTCTCCGTATAACGCTCTGTCTCCGTATAACGCTCCCTGTCTCTGTATAACGCCCTGTCTCTGTATAACGCTCTGTCTCTGTATAACGCTCCCTGTCTCTGTATAACGCTCTGTCTCTGTGTAACGCTCCCTGTCTCTGTGTAACGCCCCTCTGTCTCTGTATAACGCCCTGTCTCTGTATAACGCTCCCTGTCTCTGTATAACGCTCCCTGTCTCTAGAAGTACCTTCGCCCCCATAACGCCTGTTCTATAACTCTTGCCCTGTATAACGCTCTGTCTCTGTATAACGCTCTGTCTCTGTATAACGCCCCCTGTCTCTGTATAACGCTCTGTCTCTGTATAACGCTCTGTCTCTGTATAACGCTCTCTGTCTCTGTATAACGCTCTGTCTCTGTATAACGCCCCCTGTCTCTGTATAACGCTCTGTCTCTGTATAACGCTCTGTCTCTGTATAACGCTCTGTCTCTGTATAACGCTCCCTGTCTCTGTATAACGCCCTGTCTCTGTATAACGCTCTGTCTCTGTATAACGCCCCCTGTCTCTGTATAACGCTCTGTCTCTGTATAACGCTCTGTCTCTGTATAACGCTCCCTGTCTCTGTATAACGCTCTGTCTCTGTGTAACGCTCCCTGTCTCTGTATAACGCTCCCTGTCTCTGTATAACGCTCTGTCTCTGTATAACGCCCTGTCTCTGTATAACGCTCCCTGTCTCTGTATAACGCTCTGTCTCTGTATAACGCTCCCTGTCTCCGTATAACGCTCTGTCTCCGTATAACGCTCTCTGTCTCCGTATAACGCTCTGTCTCCGTATAACGCTCTGTCTCCGTATAACGCTCTGTCTCCGTATAACGCTCCCTGTCTCTGTATAACGCCCTGTCTCTGTATAACGCTCTGTCTCTGTATAACGCTCTGTCTCTGTATAACGCTCTGTCTCTGTATAACGCTCCCTGTCTCTGTATAAACGCCCTGTCTCTGTATAACGCTCTGTCTCTGTATAACGCCCCCTGTCTCTGTATAACGCTCTGTCTCTGTATAACGCTCTGTCTCTGTATAACGCTCCCTGTCTCTGTATAACGCCCTGTCTCTGTATAACGCTCCCTGTCTGTGATTGGCTGGCCGGCCGGAGGGGGCGTGGTCTGGCGGTGGGCGGAGCGGAGGGGGCGTGGTCTGGCGGTGGGCGGGGCGGACGTTCTGTGAGAAGATGGCGGAGAGAAACCCGGGAACCGACCTGAGTGAGTCCTCCCCGCCGGGAGCTCTGTGACTGGAGGGGAGATAGGAGGGAGCTCTGTGACTGGAGGGGAGATAGGAGGGAGCTCTGTGACTGGAGGGGAGATAGGAGGGAGCTCTGTGACTGGGGGAGATAGGAGGGAGCTCTGGTGGACTGAGGGGAGATAGGAGGAAGCTTTCCCAGGACTGGGGATAGGAGGCTCTAGACTGAGGAGATAGAGGAGCTTCCTGTGACTTGGAGGGAGATAGGAGGGAGCTCTGTGACTGAGTGGAGATAGGAGGAGCTCCCAGACTGGGGGGAGATAGGAGGAGCCTGCACTGGGGAGATAGGAGGGAGCCTCAGACTGAGAGGGGAGATAGGAGGAGCCCAGGACTGAGTGGAGATAGGAGGGAGCCTCAAGGGACTGGAGGGAGATAGGAGGGAGCCCCAGACTGGGGGGAGACAGGAGGGAGCTCTGTGACTGGAGATAGGAGGGAGCTCTGTGACTGGGGGAGATAGGAGGGAGCTCTGTGACTGGGGGAGATAGGAGGGAGCTCTGTGACTGGAGGGGAGATAGGAGGAAGCTCTGTGACTGGGGATAGGAGGAAGCTCTGTGACTGG